CCGCAATGTGTTTAGCCACATATTTATTCCCCTCTTTTTTCCTCTCTCTCTTTTTGAGGGAGAAAAAGTGTCAGGTATCTCTGACTACCAAAGGGAACTGTTGTGAATGCTTTAACACGCTCAATGTCACTGAAAAACAAACAAACACAAGACCTAGGAATGTTATTTTTCCCACTATGCACGAACAGATAACTACCTATTCACAGAATGTTTTGATAGCACACTCCATCTCTATATTTAGACTGCCTAGAGTAAAGATATATGCATGAATGGGGTCTTATTTCTACTGTCTGTGGGTTGCCTTGAATAAATGTTTAATTCACATATGAAACATTTTGCATTAACCGCATATATATATATATATATATATATACTGTATACAGTGGCTTGCGAAAGTATTCACCCCCCTTGGCATTTTTCCTATTTTGTTGCCTTACAACCTGGAATTAAAATGGTATTCACCCCCAAGTCAATACTTTGTAGAGCCACCTTTTGCAGCAATTACAGCTGCAAGTCTCTTGGGGTATGTCTCTATAAGCTTGGAACATATAGCCACTGGGATTTTTGCCCATTCTTCAAGGCAAAACTGCTCCAGCTCCTTCAAGTTGGATGGGTTCGGCTGGTGTACAGCAATCTTTAAGTCATACCACAGATTCTCAATTAGATTGAGGTCTGGGCTTTGACTAGGCCATTCCAAGACATGTAAATGTTTCCCCTTAAACCACTCAAGCGTTGCTTTAGCAGTATGCTTAGGGTCATTGTCCTGCTGGAAGGTGAACCTCCGTCCCAGTCTCAAATCTCTGGAAGACTGAAACAGGTTTCCTTCAAGAAGTTCCCTGTATTTAGCGCCATCCATCATTCCTTCAATTCTGACCAGTTTCCCAGTCCCTGCCGATAAAAACATCCCCACAGCATGATGCTGGCACCACCATGCTTCACTGTGGAGATGGTGTTCTCAGAGTGATGAGAGGTGTTGGGTTTGCGCCAGACATAGCGTTTTCCTTAATGGCCAAAAAGCTCAATTTTAGTCTCATCTGACCAGAGTACCTTCTTCCATATGTTTGGGTCTCCCACATGCCTTGGTGAACACCAAATGTGTTTGCTTATTTTTTTCGTTATGCTATGGCTTTTTTCTGGCCACTCTTCCGTAAAGCCCAGCTCTGTGGGGTATACGACTTAAAGTGGTCGTATGGACAGATACTCCAATCTCCGCTGTGGAGCTTTGCAGCTCCTTCGGGGTTATATTTGATCTCTTTGTTGCCTCTCTGATTAATGCCCTCCATACCTGGTCCATGAGTTTTTGTGGGTTTGTTGTGGTGCCCTATTCTTTCCATTTGTTAATAATGGATTTAATGGTGCTCCGTGGGATCTTCAAAGTTTCTGATATTTTTTTATAACCCAACCCTGATCTGTACTTCTCCACAACTTTGTTCCTGACCTGTTTGGAGAGCTCCTTGGTCTTCATGGTGCCGCTTGCTTGGTGGTGCCCCTTGCTTAGTGGTATTGTAGACTCTGGGGCCTTTCAGAACAGGTGTTTATATACTGAGATCATGTGACACTTAGATTGCACACAGGTGGACTTTATTTAACTAATTATGTGACTTCTGAAGGTAATTGGTTGCACCAGATCTTATTTAGGGGCTTCATAGCTAAGGGGGTGAATACATATGCACGCACCACTTTTCCGTTATTTGTTTTGTATAATTTTTTGAAACAAGTTAATTTTTTCATATCACTTCACCAATTTGGACTATTTTGTGTATGTTCATTACATAAAATCCAAATAGAAATCCATTTAAATTACAGGTTGTAATGCAACAAAATAGGAAAACCGCCAAGGGGGATGAATACTTTTGCAAGGCACTGTATACAGTACCAGACAAAAGTGTGGAAACACCTACTCATTCAAGGGTTTTTCTTTATTTTTACTATTTTCTACATTGTAGAATAATAGTGAAGACATCAAAACTATGAAATAACACCTATGGAATCATGTAGTAACCAAAAAAGTGTTAAACAAATCAAAATATATTTTATATTTGAGATTCTTCAAAGTAGCCACCCTTTGCCTTGATCACAGCTTTGCACACTCTTGGCATTCTCTCAACCAGCTTCATGACAAATGCTTTTCCAACAGTCTTGAAGGAGTTTCTACATATGCTGAGCACTTTTACTTCACTCTGCGATCCATCTCATCCCAAACCATCGCAATTGGGTTGAGGTCGGGTGATTGTGGAGGCCAGGTCATCTGATGCAACACTCCATCACTCTCTTTGGTCAAATAGCCCTTACACAGCCTGGAGATTGCGGCCCAAATAAATTATTCACAGAGTTCAAGTAACAGACACATCTCAACATCAACCGTTCAGAGGGGACTGCATGAATAAGGCCTTCATGGTCGAATTGCTGCAAAGAAACCACTACTAAAGGACACCAATAAGAAGGAGAGACTTGCTTGGGCCAAGAAACACGAGCAATGGACATTAGACTGGTGGACATCTGTCCTTTGGTCTGATGAGTCCAAATTTGAGATTTTTGGTTCCAGCCGCCCTGTCTTTGTGAGACGCGGAGTAGGTGAAATGATGATCTCTGTATGTATGGTTCCCACTGTGAAGCACGGAGGAGGAGGTGTGATGGTGTGGGGGTGCTTTGCTGGTGACACTGTCATTGATTTATTTAGAATTCAAGGCACACTTAACCAGCATGGCTACCACAGCATTCTGCAGCGATACGCCATCCCATCTGGTTTGCGCTTAGTGGGACTATCATTTGTTTTCCAACAGGACAATGACCCAAAAACACACCTCCAGGCGGTGTAAGGGCTATTTGACCAAGAAGGAGCGTGATGGAGTGCTGCATCAGATGATCTGGCCTCCACAATCACCCGACCTCAACCCAATTGAGATGGTTTGGGATGAGTTGGACCGCAGAGTGAAGGAAAAGCAGCCTACAAGTGCTCAGCATATGTGGGAACTCCTTCAACTGTTGATTTGTTTAACACTTTTTTGGTTACTACATGATTCCATATGTGTTATTTCATAGTTTTGAGTGTGTAGAATATACAGTGTAGAATATAGTAAAAATAAAGAAAAACCCTGGAATGAGTAGGTGTGTCCAAACTTTTGACTGGTACTGTTTATATATATATATATATATATATATATATACAGTGGGGAAAAAATGTATTTAGTCAGCCACCAATTGTGCAAGTTCTCCCACTTAAAAAGATGAGAGAGGCCTGTAATTTTCATCATAGGTACACGTCAACTATGACAGACAAATTGAGGAAAAAAAATCCAGAAAATCACATTGTAGGATTTTTTATGAATTTATTTGCAAATTATGGTGGAAAATAAGTATTTGGTCACCTACAAACAAGCAAGATTTCTGGCTCTCACAGACCTGTAACTTATTATTTAAGAGGCTCCTTTGTCCTCCACTCGTTACCTGTATTAATGGCACCTGTTTGAACTTGTTATCAGTATAAAAGACACCTGTCCACAACCTCAAACAGTCACACTCCAAACTCCACTATGGCCAAGACCAAAGAGCTGTCAAAGGACACCAGAAACAAAATTGTAGACCTGCACCAGGCTGGGAAGACTGAATATGCAATAGGTAAGCAGCTTGGTTTGAAGAAATCAACTGTGGGAGCAATTATTAGGAAATGGAAGACATACAAGACCACTGATAATCTCCCTCGATCTGGGGCTCCACGCAAGATCTCACCCCGTGGGGTCAAAATGATCACAAGAACGGTGAGCAAAAATCCCAGAACCACACGGGGGGACCTAGTGAATGACCTGCAGAGAGCTGGGACCAAAGTAACAAAGCCTACCATCAGTAACACACTACGCCGCCAGGGACTCAAATCCTGCAATGCAAGACGTGTCCCCCTGCTTAAGCCAGTACATGTCCAGGCCCGTCTGAAGTTTGCTAGAGTGCATTTGGATGATCCAGAAGAGGATTGGGAGAATGTCATATGGTCAGATGAAACCAAAATATAACTTTTTGGTAAAAACTCAACTCGTCGTGTTTGGAGGACAAAGAATGCTGAGTTGCATCCAAAGAACACCATACCTACTGTGAAGCATGGGGGTGGAAACATCATGCTTTGGGGCTGTTTTTCTGCAAAGGGACCAGGACGACTGATCCGTGTAAAGGAAAGAATGAATGGGGCCATGTATCGTGAGATTTTGAGTGAAAACCTCCTTCCATCAGCAAGGGCATTGAAGATGAAACGTGGCTGGGTCTTTCAGCATGACAATGATCCCAAACACACCGCCCGGGCAACGAAGGAGTGGCTTCGTAAGAAGCATTTCAAGGTCCTGGAGTGGCCTAGCCAGTCTCCAGATCTCAACCCCATAGAAAATCTTTGGAGGGAGTTGAAAGTCTGTGTTGCCCAGCGACAGCCCCAAAACATCACTGCTCTAGAGGAGATCTGCATGGAGGAATGCGCCAAAATACCAGCAACAGTGTGTGAAAACCTTGTGAAGACTTACAGAAAACGTTTGACCTGTGTCATTGCCAACAAAGGGTATATAACAAAGTATTGAGAAACTTTTGTTATTGACCAAATACTTATTTTCCACCATAATTTGCAAATAAATTCATTAAAAATCCTACAATGTGATTTTCTGGATTATTTTTATAATTCAATTCATAGTTGACGTGTACCTATGATGACAATTACAGGCCTCTCTCATCTTTTTAAGTGGGAGAACTTGCACAATTGGTGGCTGACTAAATACTTTTTTCCCCCACTGTATATATATATATATATACACATACAATTTGGAAGACCAAACAGTCAATCCCAAGCCATAATGTCTTTCTTTTGATCTCTTTTATCTCTCTATGAACTGTGGGTCTCTAATGACCGTTCCCCATCGATCACGAGCGTTGTGGCACACACTGGAAAGCAGCCTGTGGGGAGAGGGAGCATTTTCAATCAGACAGTGAGGAGCAGTGTGAAATCTCAGGAAGAGCAGCTTCTCCCCATGCCCGTGGGCAGGGGATCAGACGGAGAGAACGCCTGCCTCAGACACCCCTCACCTCCCACTGGCACCCTGATGCAAGCAGCATGCAAACCCACCCCTCCCATGTGTCTATCAGCTGTGGGGTTAAGCTCTGCACGCACCCCCTTCCTCTCCTCTCCTCCGTGGTCCTGCATGGTAGAGTGCATGTTACACCGGTGTGAAGGAAGTGCATTTGGAATCAATGATGAATTTCACTGGGAATCAAAGAACGAGAGGTGGATGTGACAGTGAATGTGGCTCGGCAGGGTTTCCTGTTGTTCAAGGCTAAGTGTGTCTGATGTGATAAAAGGAATGTATGAAATATAAAAAATGTAACAGACTGTTAGTAAATGAGCGAGAGTGAGAGCTGCATGGGCTGAGACTGGGCTGTCTCCACATTGGGAGAGTCCAGGATTTGCTGTGCAGGGAGAAAAATGGCATTGAGTCACCTCTCTTCAAAACCCAAACACCTGCTCTCTAAATCCAATCACCTCCCTGTTAAAGCCAGTGCCCTGCCAGTGCTGTGGCTCGCCCATTCACTCTCTCTGGGCTGCCCGCTCTCTTCCTGCTCCCGATCTATTGGAGCTGCGCTCTCCATCCGTGACACATGAGACTGTGAACTCTAAAGGGTTTGTTTCAGACCTAGAGCTTGATTTACTCCAGGCTCCACTCCAGGAGAAAACAGGCTTCCAAAAATCCCCTTTTTCCCCCTCGCCTGTCTTTGGCTGCTCCTTTAATCTACTGTGCAACTTCTTTGATGTATCTTCCATGTCCACTGTGTGTTTGGGGTCTGTTTATTTCAGCAGTGTGAGCTGGGCTGAGCTGATGTGCACGGTAGGTAAAAGGGTTAATACTGTGGCTTTGTGTTAAAGGGAACTGGGAGGCTCCCATTCCCTGTGTTGTACAGGTGGAACAGCCCAGAAGTTCTGCCTAATGACTGCATTAGGGCTAGCTGTGTGTACAGACACAGAGAGACTGGTTGGGAACGGGTCCCCGGGGCTTCTCAGCAGGCATACAGGCTTCCATCTGCAGATTCAAGGCAAAAACATCTAAGTGTTGCTCTGCTAGCTCTGCTTGTTTCTGTGTGAATTGCACAGAAAGCTGAACTGACAAAATATTTATGTTGTTTCATAGCTAGGTACTTTCAAGTTACAGTACATATTGACTGAGAGGTTGTTCCATTTGACCCAGTCACCATACCTTGTATTTTCTGTGACTGCCCAACAATGGTGTAGTTATACCGTACAGCTATATCCAGCTATTGATTTGAATCCATGCTGTTTGGAATGAGGTCAGTAGGTCGTGGACCTATTTAATTAATTATGAACGGTAGAATGGAAAATGGATAAGAATCAGGGACATGGACTAATTTCAGACCTGCCAGTCAATAACAGCCATACCACAATGGGTTTACCCTGGGGTCCTGCAGGGATCCCTCTGGAGCCACATGTACCATTGTGTGTGTGGGTGTGTTGTCTGATTATGTACATGTGATTGTGTGTTAAACTTTTTTTTTTTATCCCTGGAAACACATTTGGGGCACCATTTTTACCCAGTACATACTAGATGGCAACCTACATACAGCAGAATACAGCCACAGGGCAGCACAGAACATGGAAACAGACACATACAGACATGTCACATACAAACATATGATCTTAATCTGTTTTGTCACAGCAAAATAATCCTGCAGCAACAGGTTTAGTCCATAATATTGCTTGATCGGTGGTTAGTCTATTAGCTGGCCAAAAGTAGGTTATTGTGTTTTTTGCGGTGCAGGAAAATTCTCGGCAACAAAATAGTGATCAAATTAAGATTCTACATCTGTATCAATCACCACTAGACACACAGTCTTAATCATTGCTCAATACTTATAACAATGATTGCCCAATGCAGTGAAAGGACTTCATAGAACACACTAACTACATCACTGCTCCTCACATATCAACCACTGGACTGCACATACTGTAGCATCCATGGCACGGTGCATAGCAACAGCTACATAGCAACAGCTGTACTGTGCATAGCAACAACTGCAAGTTAAATAGCATACAGAGCAGGAAGGTTTTCTGGGCGTTGCAGATGCAAACACGGGGTTATGAACATAACTTTCTGCTGTCTACTCCTCACTCAATTCTCTGATTAGAAGTCACGGTAACCTCGTTGTTCATTCTCAGTCAACAGTGAGGGGCTATATCTGCAGTTAAACTCCCTCAGTTGTCTTTTTCTGTTAACATTTGAGACTCTCTGAACATGGGTGTTTTTCTCTCCTCTCCCTGCAGATATGCGTTCCATTCCTGATGTGGCCATGACGGGTAATTGTACTCAGGAGTGCAGTGAGCTGGGTCACTCAGACACCTGCTGGATGCCTGGGCAGCCCTCCCCGGTGCGCAAGACCAGGAATCCCCCCAAACTTTCCACCTTTGTGCCTTACCAGGAGAGAGGGAGCCTGGGTCGCCTGGCCAACGGGAGCGCCAGGCTGGGTGGCGAGGAGCACCGAGCCCGCCTTCCGCCCTCCCGTAGTACCTATTCCAACAGCGGGCATGCCCCTAGGCAGGACTGCCCCCTGGAGGAGGTGCCACTGAGCGTGGCCTCTGAGTTCCTGCCCACCTCCCCTCCTAGCCACACCGCCAAACAAGAGATCTACCTGTGAGAAGCCCCACCTCCCACATCTGATTGGTGCTCAGATATTGGAGAAGCCACAGAGACACACCCACTTAAGAAAAAGAAACATGCTCTTAAAGGATCTGAAATGTCCATTTATTGAAATAAATACCCATTCTGTAGGAAATATGGGATGTGATTTGTGGAATCATTGGTATGTGCAATAGGAGTTTTTCAATGTATTTATTTTATTTATTTACATATTTATTCGTTCATTCATGTATTAATTAGTTAATGGATTTATTTATCGATGCAGTTTCTTTAAAAGCATTGGTTAAACACTTGTGGTAATAGCACACTAAATCAACATACAATCAATCCCTAAAACACTAGTGATTTTCTTAGCTAAGCCCTAGCCTGTTGTGGTATGTTATGGTATGTTTTCTGGAAAATCCAATGTGTGATCAGTGCTTTAGTGCCATAACCAGATAACATTCATCTGACAGGCAATGAAGCCCTAAGTGTAGACTTAACATTTTTGATTAACAATCAAATGGATTGGTCTTTCTTAATGTACAGTGCTGTAAATACATGTGAATGGTGTACACTGTATATATTTCTGTCTGGCTTAAGCTGATAACAATAGCCTCAGAATCTTTGCATTTGAGCTTTTCTTAGCTGCTGCTGTTTAAAACTTGATTGGAATGTTTTCCAAAAACTTGGACGGACAGTGTGGAAAGGCTCTTGAATGAATTGATCCACTACTCACAATCTCACACACACACACACACACACCTGTGACCCCCAATCATGATAGAACCATAGCCTTTTACCTCATGCTCCCTGGATAGCTATTAAGCCAGTGAGAAGAGCTGTGTGGCAGCATTTAATGGGATAATGTGTGTTTCATTGAGCCTCAGCACTGTGCCCCGTCTCTTTTCCTGGAAACAGTACACTTAGAGGTCATCGCTCCTGGTCACACTGATCCTTCCCAAACCTCTAGCACACATTCTGATAGTGTTTGCCCCTCAGAGTAGAGCCTCTGGTTCCCCACCTACTGTAGATGAGAATATATATATATATATATATATATATATATATATATATATATATATATATATATATATATATATATATATATATATATATATATATATTTCTCTGTTCTGTGTGAAAAGCTCCTCTCTAATGCCTCCCTATGCCTGAACAACACTGAGCTAATCAGTTGCTCTCCACGTAGAGGTCACCATTACATTCAACCCTGTGTCTCCATTCTCGTTAGGTTTTCTCCTCACGATCCGCATTAATTTCAATAGTTCTGATGAATGCATAAGGAGTTATTCACACGAGTTTCAGCACAGCACTTTTCAGTCCTGAGAGCCACTGAAGTGACTGAGAGTGCTGTGACTGAACTCTCCTGTCTCACAGAAACAAAGCTTTTTACATTCACAGGCTGACTCCTGAAAGGTTTCCTTCAGTTGTTCTCATGTCTTTAAAAGAAGGCTACAGTAATCATCTGGGACTAAGAGACCTTTCGGCTTGGCAAAGAAGAAAAGTGGTCACTCAGGTCACCATTCTGTTTAAAAATACCTGTTGCACCCATTGGTGCATGTTATAAACAATGATGAAATGGTGCCATTTCAAATCAAGTTAAATATTGGTTGCAGGAGTCCCATATTCCTATAGGCTGCAGCAGGTATCATTGACAAAGACTTATTTTCAAAGTCATTTAAAAGCAGACATCTGGAGGACACAGGAATAGTAGTATGTAATTGGATGATGATAACGCCACCAGCCCGCCTCGCAGCACAGTAGCATTACTCATAGCTTTTGATTTGTACACTGATTCGATTCGATTTGTATCTTAGCCCCTGTTTTGACCACAGTGTATTTCTATGGAGAGAGAGACAGTGGGTCTGGTCTGAGTAATGGGTGGAAGGGCCTGGAAGGGAATGGATGCTGTGCTCCCCTAATTACTTTGTGTAATGAGTCCTTAGCCAGGGCATATGTGAGCAGACAGCCTGAGGACAACACAACAGCCACATAATCCAAATCCATCCGCTAAACTACAATCATTTAAAAAGGGGCATTTTTATCTGAACTTACCTCATCGCACCGCTGTTGGCAGCACATGTAGAATAATTCAATTCAAAACATATGGAAATTACTGGACATGGCCATGAATAAATAAGGCAGGTGATTATCCTAGCCTTGAGGGAAAAAAGCACATTATGCTGTTTTCAAAGCCATTTAGCCACTGAAATAAAATCCAGCAAGAGTCATAATACACTATGATGAAGTCTCTTCGTCCCCCTCGCAGCGGGTGAGTTCACTGATCTGGAATTAATAATAAGTGTGAAAGATTGCGTTGATTGATAAAGCCAATGTCACACAGCCTCAACACTAGCTTTGTCTCCTATGCTCTGTCTGACTCCTTTCAGATTCACTGACTCATCTGACTCCAGCCTGAATCCCCAGAGTGAATCTGGCATAAATCACAAGGTTTATCTCTTTACTAATCACTTGGTGTGGCTGAATCACTTGGAGTGGCTTCTCTCTGGCATGTCTGAATCACTGATTTTGACTCAAGCCCTTATTCAAATCAAACCACTGGGTTTGAGTGCTTACCAACACCAGTCTTTGCATATATTTTCTTTTTTTTAGCCAGAATAACTGTGTAATACCTTTTCTCTCCAGCCTATATCAATTAGTCTGTTTGAAAATACTGAATCACATGGTTTTACCTGTCTTTTGAACTCATGCTGAATTAATTATTTGTGTTGACTGCTCTCTGGAAAGTAGGATGGTTGTCCAGTCCTGGATCAAAGTATTGATAGCCTGAAAACCGTTGATACACTCCACAGTTTGTCCAATCATGTGTAGTTTGTATTTTGATGTTTTATTTAATGTCAAGTTCACCTGAGTATCCTATGCCTCTCTGTAGTGGTCTTGATAGGTGATTGTGGCTGTGGACTGATGGACATGATGAGATACTGGAGAATAGGCAAAGGAGTTCTCTAAGACTAAGGGCTGGATTCAATCCGTATCGCCGAAGTATCACGGAAGATCCACGTTAATATTTAAAGGTAATGAGCCAACATATGCAGCGTTTACCGTGAATGCAGTCTCTGGAACATTGCCTTTAATTGCCAATCATGCTATAAAGCGGGTCTTCAGCGCTACGGATTGAATAGATCCTTAAGCTTCCTTACATAGTAAATCAAAGCGAGCTGTGTATGACAAATCTGTCTTGAAAGTGTACATAGAGCTGCACATCCCCATGTGAGCTGTCAAGCAGGCTATGAGTTTAGCATCAATTCCAAAGATAATAGGTACTGTTTTTGATGAGATGTTAGTGCTGGTTTTAGTTCAAGACCACTCTCCCCAACGAGCTGACATTCACTGCACATTTCATCACCATCAGAGACAGTTCTTCACAGTAAAATAAAGACAAACTGCCTTGAAAGTGTGTTGTTGCAAGAGAGTACCAAGTTGTTATCCTAATTGTTGGTTATATTTATATAGAAAAAAATGTGTGTGATGACATGTTTTTGTACAGTTTTATGTACATGCAAGTGAAGCTTTTTAAAACGTATTACAAAAGCCGATGGCATATAAAAATTGTAACGTGTTTCTTGAGATGTGCACATTTTGCCTTGGTTGGATTGATCTTTGCTGAGTCGGTGTGAATGTGGTCGTTCTATGCCTGCACCGTAGTCATTCACAGGCTCCCTGCTCCCGAGGGCTTTATCAGACTTTATATTTATCGTGAACAGTGGATTGTCGGATCCTACCTGTTTGTTTAATTCCTATGTGTTCCGTTTCGTTCTGTTTTTGGCATGTTGAGAAAATTCCCTTGTAATATGTCCTCAAGAACTTTGTAATAAAATGAGTCCAGGAAAAACAATGCTTTCAGTGACTTATTGAGTGTTGAGTATAGTTATTGATAGAATATTGGAATAATTATTTCCACTGGTACATTTATAAACTACTTTAATTGTGTAAATTAACTACAAATCCCATCATGTAGCTTGGTAGTGTTTTGTATTCATATAGCATCCATAGGTCAGGACTCATACCCTCTACTCCTGCAGTTTAACTTTTAGTTATTTTGAAACAGATTTCTGAAAAGCATGTTCTCTCTCTCTCTGCTATTATCTATGGCTTTTTGGACTAGGTAGGTATTACATTTCAGCATTGTGGTGAAAGACGACTTACCAGACACCTCCAGGACCTATCTGGGGCTGCAAATGGCTCCTGTATAAGGACAAGGAATCGGATTTCAGAATTACACTGTAGTGCTGACTGTCTATCAATCAATTATTAATGTGTCTGCACTCTGCAGATATGAAGGAGACTCTCTCAGTTGAGGGATGTGCTGGCTCAGTGTTGAGGATATTATCAGATTTTAGGACTCATGAAAGTATCCACATTGCTATTCAGAGAAGTCACTAAGTGTTTTGTTAGATAACCATATAGAGAAAGACCTAAGACCTCACAATAATCGACCGTACAATAAAGACAAGACCATGAAGATGGCACTGTAAAACATTTTTGGATAACTTCATCCATACAACATGTGCAGTATTTAAAGGCAGCATCCCATACTACATGTTCAACATTTTAAGGCAGTGGTTCCGATACTTTTTAGTATGTAAACAATTACTACCCAGTCTTATGATGTATATTATTAGAGCTATTTACACCAACTCATAGGTAGGGGAGAGTAAACTCAAACTGGTCAGAGATATTAAACAGCACTGGTCAGAAAAGCACAGTGCAACCTCAATGCGGACCATGGAAGTTGAGGCAGACCAAACCGACCTCTTCTGGATGCTGAAGAAACTGCAGTGTGAGATGTTGGACACAAATAATGAGACAATTTGTATTTGTATTTGTATTTATTATGGATTCATAACAGATTTCACAACACACTAAGTGTGTGCCCTCAGGCCACTCCTCCACTACCACATATCTACAACACAGAATTCATGTGTACGTGTGTGTATAGTGCGTATGTTATCGTGTGTGTATGTATGTGTC